CCCAGATTTTTGACTGTAGAGGAAGTAACCGTACATCCGTCTAGTTGCAAATTGTAATCCACGAGATTCGGTGTACTGTCTTTTGGTCCAATAAGTAATATCTCTGTCTTGTCTGAATTTAATAGGAGAAAATTATTGGTCATCCAATCTTTTACATTAGCACACTCTGTTAGCTTAGATAATTTAGAAGTTTCATCTGGTCTTGTTGAGATATATAGTTCATCAGCATAACAATGGAAACGAATTCCGTATTTTCTAATAATATTACTGTGGGGCAACATTTATATTGTAAATAGCAGAGGGCCTAGGACAGATCCTTGTGCTACTCCATACTTTACTGGATTTAATTGAGATGATTCCCTGTTTAAATAGACAAAGTGATAGCAATCGGAAAGGTAGGATCTAAACCATCTTAAAGCCTGCCTGCCCTTGAATACATGTATAGTTTTGTAATAAAATCTATGAATATGTCATGATCTATAGTGTCGAACGCAGCACTAAGGTCAAGTAAAACTAGCAATGAGATGCAGCCTTGGTCTGACGCAAGAAGCAAGTCATTTGTAATTTTATCAAGTGCAGTTTCTGTGCTATGATGGGCCCTGAAACCTAACTGAAATTCTTCATAGATATCTTTTTTTTTTGCAGGAAGGAGCACAATTGATCAGACACAACTTTTTCTAAAATTGTAGACAAACGGAATTGGATTTGAAATGGGTCTGTAATTTGCCAGTTCACTAAGATCTAGTTGTGGTTTCTTAATAAGAGGCTTAATAACTGCCAGCTTGAATGGTTTTGGGATGTGACCTAGAGATAACGACGAGTTAATAATATTGAGAAGCGGTTCTTCTGCTACAGGTAACAACTCTTTCAGTAATTTAGTGGGTACAGGATCTAATAAACATGCTGTTGGTTTAGATGCAGTGATGAGTTTATTTAGCTCTTCCTGTCCTATAGTTGTAAAGCACTCTTTGCGAGGGTGGGGACTGAAACCTGAAATTCTTCATAGAGATAATTTTTTTGCAGGAAGGAGCACAATTGATCAGACACAACTTTTTCTAAAATTGTAGACAAACGGAATTGGATTTGAAATGGGTCTGTAATTTGCCAGTTCACTAAGATCTAGTTGTGGTTTCTTAATAAGAGGCTTAATAACTGCCAGCTTGAATGGTTTTGGGATGTGACCTAGAGATAACGACGAGTTAATAATATTGAGAAGCGGTTCTTCTGCTACAGGTAACAACTCTTTCAGTAATTTAGTGGGTACAGGATCTAATAAACATTCTGTTGGTTTAGATGCAGTGATGAGTTTATTTAGCTCTTCCTGTCCTATAGTTGTAAAGCACTGCAGTTTATCTTTGGGCGCAATGAATAAAGCTGAATTACAAGACGCTGTTGATTCTACATTTGTTACTGTATTTCCGATGCCATCATTAAAGAAATTCATAAAGTCATTACTGTTAAACTGTGAGGGAATATTTAGATCAGGTGGCATCTAGTTATTTGTTAATCTAGCCATTGTGCTAAATAAAAACCTTGTATTGTTTTGGTTATTTTCTATGAGTTTGCGGATATGCTCAGCCCTGGCAGCTTTTAGAGCCTGTCTATAGCTGGACATACTGTTTTTCCATGCAATTCTAAAAACTTCCAAGTTAGTTTTTCTCCATTTGCGTTCAAGATTACGACTTCCTTTCTTGAGAGAATGGGTATTGCTGTTGTACCATGGCGCAGTACGTTTTTCTCTAACCTTTTTTAATTTGATGGGGGCAACAGCTTCTAGTTTCTAGCTTCAAGATAGTGCCCACAGTCATTTCGTCTAGTTCATGTGTATTTATTGGTACAGAGAGCAGTTGATATAATTCAGGCAGTTTATTTGTGGATCTGTCTTTGGTGGTTGGAACAATAGTTCTACCCGGACGATAACGTGGAGCCATATAGTTAATATCAGTAATAGGCAGCATTCACGATACAAGGTAGTGGTCAGTAACATTGTCACTTTGAGGTACTATATCTATATAATTAACATCAATTCCATGCGATATAATTACATTTAGTGTATGATTAAAACGATGAGTGGGTCTGGTTATGTTTTGCTTGACTCCAAAAGAGTTTATTAAGTCTGTAAACGCAAGTCCTAACACATAATTTATATTATCAGCATGAATGTTAAAGTCTCCGGCAATTAGCGCTTTAATCAACATTAACCAATAGGTCTGAGAAGAAATCTGCTAATTCTTTTAGGAATTATATTAGTTTAACAAATTGTGCACTATGTAAAAAGTGTTTTGAGGTCATATTGTGCAAGGAACCATGCAAAAATATGTCATAAAAAATAATTAATAAAAGCTGTTAGTGTTTAACTTCCACTAATTTTCATTTCAGATGAAAGAACAGTGAATTGTATCTATAGTGTAGGATATCAGACCGAATCAGACAATCTAAGATTTGGTCAAAACCGAGTTGAGGCACGAGGAGTCACAAAAATTCCACAGAGGCCCAAGACAACAGGATGTCATAAATCAGACCCTAGCCCTTCTGAAGCAAGCCTAAACCTAAACCCCTGCCACAGAACAGTTTTCAACATTATCACAAAAGAACACATTGACAAGTCCAAGGAGATTGTCAATTTTGGGGCAAGTTATCAAGAATAATGGTCAAAAGAGATGCACAGCGTGACCGCCACATGGAAACATGTGACAGTGATCACAAGCTTCGGATTGACTTTTCCCTCCACATCACGAGACCGAACAGACTGAAATTCCTTATGAGAGAACTCTTAATCTCTGGTCTTCATACATTCACAGAATGGCACGGAAACTGCCTTTCCATGCACCTAAATGACACTAAAAGGACTCGAGCAACTAACCATTGCTACATATCTAACCCCATATCATGTATCTAACCCACAGTCTCAGTGATCCGCCGTAAAACAGTGATTCTGTCCTAATTCCCTTGCATATTAATGGTGGAGTTCCCTTTAAAATCTTAAATGATTCCCTTTGAGCTAAATTATTGACCTGTTTCCCTTACAGTTATTGGTGGAGAATGCGGGCAGATTAACCTAATTTGTGAGCAAAAAGCCAAGTTATTTCATATTTTCATTGCCGCGGATTAAAGACGAATGATTACATCTCATTTGTGCTTCTTGCAGGAGTTCTACCTGAAATGTGCTGCCCACCCTACCTGTGATAATGACACTTCAGCAGCACTGGACTTGATAATGCCCAACACACGCAGAGTGCCCTGCATCGCCTGCACTGACATCATGTGAGTAGCTCTTGGTTTTTCCCATGTGTCTGTAGCTAAACCCATTATAGAGGTCGAAATGTGTCTACACAACAATGAACTAATCAGACCGTTCATTACAACATTAATCTCACCACATCCTAAACAAGCCTGATGCAATAAATCAACAAACGATAAAAGCTTTTGTCCTAACCAGCCACGATTACAAACAATGCTATTAGTTGCTTGGTTTCTATTAGGGCTGTGAAATTGATTAAAACCTATAAATAAAAACCCGCAGCTACAAATATATATAGCTACACATTAAATCCCCAAATTAATGTGTACTGGAAAAAATGTTAACACTGGAGGGAAAAAAACATCAAAGATTATCAGAATAGTTTTTACAATAAAATTCTTTTTTGAAGAAGTATTTCAGTCTTTCTACGTTTGTGAAATTTACTATCAGTTATAAAATGTACTATCAATTTGAAAATTGAAAATTGTTTTTTTCAGTGTAAGGATTTTCTTTGAAACAATTTTCACACATTTCACAAACAATTACAAATAAATGACAAGTAACGTATATTTTTTATATTTTAAAAAATATATTACATTTAAAAAATATTTAAATAATCATTTTGTGACGAGTGGGGCGGGGCCGAGAGCCGTGGGAACGGAGCGAGGCTGGTGGAGTAATTGCTAATGCGCGACACCTGCGCCATTCACCGGTCTCGAGTCCCACGGAGGAGCTCCAGAAGGATAAAAGAAGGAGTGACAACAGTGTTGGACGAGAGAAGTCCAGGCCTGGTCCTGCAATAACTCCACCGGCCTCGCTCCATTCCCACGGCTCTCGGCCCCGCCCCACTCGTCACACATTTGTTTATTGGGATAAAAAAATATTTTTACTTAATTGCAGAGGTGGGACCAAGTCATTGTTTTGCAACTCACAAGTAAGTCTCGAGTCAAGACGGGCAAGTCCAAGTCAAGTTGCAAGTCCTCAACTTTAAGCTTCAAGTCCCAAACAAGTCATTAGTGCTATTTGCCCAAACGAGTGTCCATGTATTAATTACTAGAGTAAATTTAAAGTCATTAATACTGTGGTCTATATAGTAAGTATATTTATAAAGATATAATTACTAGTGGCGTTTCATTCAGTAATGAATCATTATCTGTAAACAAATATAGGCTTAAGTGAATGAATAATTTCTTTTAAGTCCACTTTCATTTATTAATGATTCAGTCATTTTAATGAATCGATTGAGTCAAATATTTAATAACTTGCTAATATGTAATACAGATGCTGAATTATCGCCACCTACTGACGTAGGTCTATAAAACCTCTATGGCAGGCTACTTCAAGTCTTAAACTGATACATTGATACAGAATGTTAATTACTGGGCAAAGAGATACTTGAAATGAAGCAGAAAAGTAAATAACAATAGTTATAATATATAAAAATGTTAAATAAAAATAAGAAACCATCAGTGAATGGGTTTAAAAGATGGATTAGATGATGTGTTTTCTTCAACAAATATCGATAATAATTATTCAAATTTCATGCTGTCACAGAGACAAGAGCAATAATGGTTATAATGATGGTGCTGCACTGTCTTTGTTATTTTTCATTCAAAATAAAATGTTATTATTTTAGTAATTCTAGGGGTTCAGTTAATATGTCGAGTTTATGAGTTATATGTCGACCTAAGTAGCCTAAACCAAACATGTCTGGCACCACACCGTTCACTATATCAGGTTTACGAAATGAGGCATGCAAAGTTATTCATGGCAAAACTGTAGTTATTCAGATACACAAATATAGCCTATGTAAGTAAATGTATTTTGCGTTTTAAACAAGTTCATAATGATCACAGTTGATGGCTTAGTTTAGGGGCTATTGTGCGCTATGTAGCCTAAAGCCTGTCAGATTTACAACACATTAATTCATCCATTTCTTCTGAAAGACAAGAAAGTGAGTGGCTGGTAAACAGGAAGAATAGAGTGAACTTTATATGTAGGCTACATACAAGCGTTTCACATGAAACAAAAAATGTAATTATGTTTGAAAGGTTTAGCCTATTATTAGGCTACTGCTGTTTCAATATGCATCAGTTTCTTCTTCTTCTTCTTCTTCTTCTTCTTCTTCTTCTTCATCTTATAAGTAGTATACATTTACATTTAGTCATTTAGCAGACGCTTTTATCCAAAGCGACTTACAAATGAGGACAATAAAAGCAGTTAAAACTAACAAAAGAGCAACAATATATACAGTAAGTGCAAATGACAAGTCTTGGTTAGCCTAACGCAGTACACACATCAAGGTCACAATATATATATTATACACACACACACACAAAGAAAAACAAGTAGATAGAATAGAAAAAATAGAAAGCTAGTGTTTTTTTTGTTTTTTTTATAAAAAAAGAAGATAAATATAGATAAAGTAGAATTAAAATAGAATAGAAAGTGCTAGAGTTAGAGGGTCAAATAAAGGAGTATATAGTGTAGTATATAGTGATTGTGTATTTTAAATATGTGTATTTATCATGCGACTCGAGTCCACAACTCTGCTTAATTGCAAACTGAATGTGATGTTTTTAGACACTTCAAAGTTAATTCCAATTAAATTAAATGTATTATATTTTACATTTATATTAAATGCTATTAGCTGAATTTTAGAGTGCCTTTTTGATTGACTTAAGTAAATTTTTATACTCTGTCATTTTATAAGTACTTCTATTATTTTTGAACTATAGTTTGTGTATGATAAACTAAAGTATACTTTAATTTCATTTATACTGAAACTTGCATATGATGTATTTAAATATATTTGTAATTACACATTTACTATGATGCAATTCAGTACATATATTAACTTTAAAAGCAATAATCTTTATGCGCATTTTGGAATATTACATAAAAAAAGCTGGATGGAAACACCAAGGTGTGGATAAATTCTAAAAACGTGCATAAAAAAACTTGGAGATAAACTTTTTGAGTAGGATAAACTTTTTATCCGATAAGAAAAAATGCACATAAACTATGATGGAAACACAATTACGGAATAAATTCCACCAAGCGCATCAAAAAAGTCATGTGACTTTGCACAATGGGACGGGATAACTTGACTAACCAGCAGACTGATCTCGTTGCACAGCATCTGAAATGTTGTTTTGATTGTTCTGAAATGCCTGAGCAAATCTGTCACCAAAGTATTTCTGTATAATTGTCTTACATGACAAACACCAGACATCCACCTCCGAAAGCAATGACAGCATTTATTATGTTTCGTTTGCTTGCTCTGAGGCACAAGTAATTCATCTTATATGAAAATTATTATATTCAGTGGCTTCTCCTACTTTTCTTAGTGATATTTAGTGCCAGTTTATCAGGAAGTGATGATTTTGTTCTTTTTGACGAGTTGGATGGAAATGGTGCTTTATTCGCAAATGTTTTATACGATATTTCAGTTTTGCGCATAAGTTAAATTCACATCTTTGGATGGAAACATAGCAGACAACGACTAGATGGGAAAAGTAACTTTCTAAACAAGTTCAAAACAAAAAAAGTTTGACAGAGCAGTTTGGAGACTTTATGATTGATCCATCAGTTAGAAAAGATGAAATACATGCAACACATTGTACAAGTAAACTAAAGATTGATAGAAATATTCTGAAAGACATGCTGCTCGTACTCCTGAACCTACATGCGCCTCCTGCTGTGCGGCCCTTCAATCAACAGTGGCCATGTTTCCGGAAAGAATGGACGTTAAAGTCCCCATGAAATCAAAATTAGTATCAATATGTTAGTCTTAAGGTTATCTATAAGGCAGTGTGCTCCAAAACAGTGACAAAATTCGCATTTAGAAGATATAAGCATTCAAAGCTTGCAGTTCGTCACTTCCGCCAAAACGGCTCAACGATTTTTATGACATAACATTGTACTTCAGCTTCTCATCAAACTTTCTGTCCAATCAAATGCTCTCTAGAATCCGAAGCGCCCGCCCCCTATACACTATAAAATAGATGCTGAAATCGGTCACTTGTCCACAGAATTAGTATTTTCTGTACAGTGAATGGCACGTAGTGCACTATATAGGGGACAGGGAACGATTCAAACAGTGTAAATATGCTTTCCACGGAGGAAAAAAATAAGTCTGGTTTGGCGCTGTGTCACGCTAACCACCGCACCGCACACACACTCTGCTCCGGTCCAGAGACACGATAGCACGGAGCGGATCACATGCGCGAGTCGGCACAGACCACAAAATGTATCAGAGCTATTTGAATTCTACACAGAATGCTATATTTTATAGCTATATGAATGAGATTGTGGCTGGCATACCCTGTCAAATGCGGCTTTACGGAGCTCAACGGCTCTAAACGGCTCTAGCCCAAGCTATGATATAAATGAACGCTATTGGCTATTTTAAAAAGGAGGCGGGGCTGCTTGATATGGCCCTGTCATCCTGTTTTAGTTAAAATTACGTTAACACATAGAGTAACGCTGCGTGTTTCTAAGCATTTCAGGGGACCTTTAAGTGTGTCCTGCCAATGAAGGTCAGCTATCAGCGCGGTGGTTCTGCAGAAACGGTCCTACCTGCTGCTCTCGCACGGAGGGTCGGTCGGGCGGGCGCCGAGCGCCTGGAGAAACCAGACAATGGAGCCCAATCACCAACAACCACTATTCAAATCAAGGACTGATTGAAGTAGCGCTGCAATTACCTTCCTGAGTAGAGCTTTGTTTTTCCACTGTCCTCCACTCCACTCTTCTTCCTCCTCCGAGATCTCCTCCGTTTGTTTAAAAGGGCACCGACAAGGACGTGGCCAGTCTCTTACAATAGAAGCAGGAAAGAGGGGTCAGAGAGGTGGAACATGGTGTTAGCAAGTTGACTTCCAGTCAAGTGAGTCTGTGTTTGAGAGTGAAAGGGGACTTCTGGAGAAATGGAAAGAAAATTGTCATGAGATTTCAGACGGCTGTTTCTTTGCTTACTACACTAAAGTATCAAGGGTCTTTGAGATCATTTGAAGTTTTCTGAAGGTATTGAACAAGCGACATATCTAAACAAGCTCTCTATCCGCCTCCATTTTCCCTGAAGCCCTCTCCTCATCAGAATCTCATGAAAACCCTCTAGATCATATTTCACCCCAAAATCTAAATCAGAAAACTCTTATTTTGGACCATTACATTTAATTACATTGTGCCATTATTTTCATGACTGTTTAGCATGTTCCCTTCAAAAATTCTCATTGCCATAATGCAAAAAAAAAAAAAAAAATCTTTAAATTGTTAAATTACATCGTGAATTGTAGTAGGTTTTTTATTGGTAGTTGACTTTTTTTATTGGTAGATTTTTAGTTAAAATGGTTATGAATGTTTAAGAAGTGTATTCACCATTTTTGCTTTTTTGCCATCACCAGGTCATTTTAAATGGTCTTGCAATGTGATTAAAGATTTTCTTTTTTAGTACAAGTATGAGTATTCCATGTCATGAGCCCATATTCTTAGTTTAAGTTTTTTTGTGGTAAAATGTGACCTGGACATGTTTTTTTGTGACAAATTTCTTGTGGCAAATTTCTGCTTTTCCATAAGTGTTTCCTGCTGTCAGAGAGTGAATCTGCATTTTCATTCAGCCCGTCTGCTGTTTTTATTCAGACCAGTGTGAAACTCGTCCAATATTTTTTTATGCGTCAATGCAACATACATGTTAACCAGGCTTTTATTGCTCATATAGTGTGATATGAAGCTCATACTCTCATACTCAAGGAGGAAAATAAACCTCAGTTTTATTCAGAGGCCCAAACTGTGCAAAAATATGCAATTTGGTGGAGATGCTGATATTTATATGGCCAATAAATAAGATGTAGCATGTAATCATTGAGATATTTACAGTATAACAGACTTGCATAAAATGCATATAAATATCAGTTGTCAATCTTTCCCATTATTATGTCTTAGTAAGATGATATTTAAGTGTCTGCTCAACAGATATGTTCTAATTGGCTGTGTGATTGTATAACAGGAGGTGAACATCACAGCATTGTTGCTGTCCACACTGAAAGCAACAATGCTGTGATGTTATACAATCACATCACACTGAAAGCAACAATGCTGTGATGTGATTGTATAACATCACAGCATTGTTGCTTTCAGTGTGGACAGGCATTATTGCTGGAAACTAGTAGTACTTCTCCTGTAAACACTTTTATAATATGATGAGGAGTTGTGTAACTGTAGACTGTAAGTGTGACTCAGGCCTCACCATGTCTTCCAGGACTCCAGTACTGGTGTTTCAGTGTGCCGAGCGTCACGTGATCTGCCTGGAGTGCTTCCACCTGTATTGTGTGACCAGACTCAATGAGCGACAGTTTATCCAGGAGCCGCTGGTAGGCTACTCTCTGCCCTGCGCAGGTAAACATACCGAAAGTGTTCTCCGATTTGAATGGCTATTAGTGTGTGTGTGTGCACAGGCTGCTGTGTTTGGCAGTGATTGATGGTAGTGTGTTGGTGGCTGCAGTGAAGAGGAGATACTATCAAATTGTTCTTCTTCACTCTCTCACATACACATACTCTCTCTGGGCCCTCGCCGTGCCCCTGTTGGCCCACCACATCCGTTAATGCCACCTGCTAATGGGGCTCCGGGGAGAAGCATTGACCCCCTATCAGCCAGAACACCCCACCAATCTCTCACACGCTGTATTTCTCTGTATCTACCGCTGTCTTGCCCTTGCACTCCTTCATTTGTTTCGCTGCTTTCTCCTCCTTTCGTTTTCTGTTTCACTGATATTTTTTGTCTCATTTTGTGCTCTCAGTACAGTCTTGCTTTGGCTGCAGCCGGTAAAGACCGAATGTGCACATCTCACTCTGGGTAGAAATTAGAGGTCGACCGATAGTGGATTTTGCCGATACCGATAGCTAGGTTGGACCACACTGGCCGATACCGATTAATTAACCGATAGTTTTAAAATTGATACTGAACAAAAACTAAAATAGTGCTTTATTAACAAAAACCGTACTGAACCATACTAGTAGTAGTAGTAAAAAAAATAATAATAATAGTAATAGTAAATGTTGAAATTAACACACTCTAACAAGGAACAATACTTATACAGCTTTCATTAATCTTAATGCTACAAATGGACTCTTATTTTAAAGTGTTACCATTTAATTTTAACTGTCATGCTTAAAGATGCACATCTTTAAATGTATACACAAAGGCTATAGCATTAAATTATATACATATGGATATTGTATGTATACTCACACTTTAACTTCTATTCTTGAACACTTGAAGCGCGACCTACATTATAGCTCTATAAATGAAGCACACAGACTTTATTAGAGCCACAGAAAGACAAACGTTTGCTGAAAATGCACAATACACAATTCATTATGTACATTAACAACGATTCGGGACCAATATAATGAAAACTATGTGAATGGTCCTCTGTGGCGCGGCAGGATTTTCTGTCGGCTGCATTTAAATCCGCGTCTGAAGTTTCTCGCTCTGTTCACCGTGCAGTATCACGTGTCTAAACAAATAGCACGTGCTGTCAGTGATTTCAACCACTAGAGGCCGCTCTCGCACAGTGTAATGACAGCAGACCCTTCTCAGCCGCTCCAGTAATGGACGCAACCCGGAAAACTATCGGCGTGGATTTTTGACGATAACCGATAGTTCCAGCAATCAACTATCAGTGCCGATTAATCGGCAAAACCGATACATCGGTCAAACTCTAGTAGAAATGGGAGTCTTTGAGACTTTAGTAATTCAGGTTCTGATTCCAAATCCACCTAATAATTGCAGGTACTTGTGCTTTAAAAAAAAATTTTTTAATTAGAATAATTAATTCTGGTGATTTTTTTTTCTTCTAACATAATAATCAAAAATACTACACATACGTTTTGGTAACATTTTAATGCTTTAGATTTTACATTTTTGGAGATGGAGAAATGCGTTGCATTCATACAAAGATCTCCTGGAGCTCAAACATACTCTATGCACTCGATTACAAAGCATTTAAAGCCGTTGGTGGTGGTTTAAAATATCTGATGGATGAACTCATGGCTCGGTTGAATTCATTTAATGCTGGTAACTGTGATAAAACTTCCCAGTGTTATGGACGCCGCCATCTTTGAGCTTGTCAGTATCAGTATGGTTACTTGATTAGAATAAGGTTGTGACTTCAGCTCTTTATTCATACAGATTGGTATTCAAGCAACTACTTTAATCTTTAAACATTCCCAAACAGTGACCGTGAATGCAGTCATCATGAACGTGTATTACTGATACTTTTATTACCTTTTCATTCTTGGCACATTATTATTTATAAAGCAAGTGTTCTTATGAGATTTATACACTGCAGCTCAAAAGTTCGGGATCAGTAGGATTTTTTTTTGTTTTTTGAAGAAGTCTCTATTGCTCATCAAGGCTGCATTTATTTGATCAAAACTACAGAAAAAAAACGTAATATTGTGAAATATTTTTACAATTTAAAATAACTGTTTTCTATGTGAATGTACTTTAAAATGTAATTTGTTCCTGTGATAAAAGCTGAGTTTTCAGCATCAATACTCCAGTCTTCAGTGTCACACATGATCCTTCAGAAATCATTCTAACATGCTAATTCATAATCATTGATTGAAACAGTTGTGCTGCTTAATATTTTTTTGGAATCCTTTTGTCAGGATTATTTGATGAATAAAAAGTTAAAAAGAACAGCATTTATTAAAAATAGAAATCTTATGTAACAATAGAAGTCTTTCTTTACTATCATTTTGTATCAATTTAGCACATCCTTACTGAATAAAAGTATTAATTTATTTTTTTTTTAAAGAAAAATGAAAATGTACTGACCCCAAACTTTTGAACAGTAGTGTATATTGTTACAAAAAATGTATATTTTAAATAAATGCTGTTCTTTTTAACTTTTTGTTCATCAAAAAATCCTGACAAAAGTGTCACAGGTACCAAAAAATATTAAGCAGCACAGCTGTTTCCATCGATGATTATGAATTAGCATATTAGAATGATTTCTGAAGGATCATGTGTGACACTGAAGACTGGAGTATTGATGCTGAAACGTCAGCTTTGCATCATAAGAATAAATTACATTTTATAATGTATTAAAGTAGAAATCTGTTCTTTTAAATTGTAATAATATTTCACAATAAGTATTCAAACTGTTTTTACTGTATCAAATAAATGCAGCCTAGATACAACAGACAGACAGACAGACAGACAGACAGACAGACAGATAGACAGATAGATAGATAGATAGATAGATAGATAGATAGATAGATAGATAGATAGATAGATAGATAGATAGATAGATAGATAGATATAGACTCAGGCATATGTGTGTGAGTGTGTGTGTGTGTCTGTCTGTCTGTCTGTCTGTGTGTATGTGTTTGTTTGTGTGTGTGTGTATTTGTGTTATTGTTGTGACGGCGTGTTTTTGTGGCCATCTATCTCTGTGTGTGTTGCTGCAGACTGGAGATTGTGTAGAAAGGTCAGACATCATCCTCAAATGCCATTTCCACTTTTAAACAACTTTCAGCAGTCCAGCCAAAACACGCTTGTCCAGAAGGCGCAGATGAAAGAGACCAGTCACATCCACGAAATGTGAAGGAATGATCGTCTGCTTCCGATAAACACAATTGTGTGAGCTCAAGAAGCTTTTTCTCTAAAAATCCAGCGGAAGCCAGCACACCTATAACCTTCTTTTGAAATGAGCTTTAACATAACACCATATTACAAGCTGACCTCAAAGGCACAAAATCTCTGCTTAACATTTAGTCACACACCTTCAATGGAGGATAGCGCATAGCATCCTGTGCAGGGTGCGAGATCTTCTCCTCTTCTGTTGGGCTGTGTGAATCATTAGCATTAAGAACAAGTTGAATTTTTCTGATGCAAATGTGCTGGAAATTACAGCAGTAATTTGGGCGGTAATGTACCGACGCTTGCTGCTAAACTGAATCACGGCATTATGTTGAATGGGTCACACTGCAGCATGACAAAACAAATTTTCTGTGATCTTTTGAAACAAGAGTTAGTTGTACTATGTAAACATGCTCTACTGAAATATACAGAACTCAAAACGTCCTCCAAATTCCAAAAAAAAAAAAAAAAACTGCAAAAATGTTCTTTCTCAGTTTTATTTTTCAAAAGGTCCCCAATCGTTTCAGCCTGATCTTAACTATTTAAGTGGATCATTTCAGCAGATTGTTTTATAAACCTGTCACAATGACATACAGGTTTTGCAAAGAGTTTAAATAAATTAAAAACTGATGTAACCACTGTAAAAAAAAAAAAAACATAATTACTATAATATAATATATAATAACCACATTTTTCACGTTTGTGTGCTGTCAGATTTAGGTTTTAGAAACAGTCTATCGGCGTTATTCTGTCATGATTTTTAGTAAAGTTGTTTATTTGGCTAATTATACTCATTGACTTAAAATAAAGAATTGTCAGTGTCATTCTAGCTCCCGTTACAAGAATCAGTTGACTCTCAACAGGATGACATTGACAAGTTGCTATCTAATATAACATCCAGATTTTTGACTGTAGAGGAAGTAACAGTACATCCATCTAGTTGCAAATTGTAATCCAAGAGATTCTGTGTACTGTTTTTTGGTCCAATAAGTAATATCTCTGTCTTATCCAAATTTAATAGGAGAAAATTATTGGTCATCCAATCTTTTACATTTTTAACACACTCTGTTAGCTTAGATCATTTATAAGTTTCTTCTGGTCTTGTTGAGATATATAGTTGAGTTTCATCAGCATAACAATGGAAACTAATCCAGTATTTTCTAATAATATTACCAAAGGGCAACATGTATATTGAAAATAGCAGAGGACATAGGACAGATCCTTGTGGCACTCCATATTTTACTGGTGATAATTGAGATGACTCCCCATGTAAATAAACAAAGGGGTAGCGATCGGACAGGTATGATCTAAACCATCTTAAAGCCTGCCCTTGAATACCTGTATAGTTTTGTAATCGATCTATGAGTATGTCATGATCTATAGTGTCGAACTCAGCACTAAGATCAAGTAAAACTAGCAATGAGATGCTGCCTTGGTCTGAAGCAAGAAGCAAGTCAATTGTAATTTTAACAAGTGCCGTTTCTTTGCTATGGTGGGGCCTGAAACCTGAATGAAATTATTCATAGAGATTTTTTTTTGCAGGAAGGAGCACAATTGAGCAGACACAACTTTTTCTAAAATGTATTTTCTATTAGTTTGTGGATATACTCGGACCTGGCAGCTTTTAGAGCCTGCCTATAGCTGGACATACTGTTTTTCCACGCAATTCTAAAAACTTCCAAGTTAGTTTTTCTCCATTTGTGCTCAAGACTACGAGTTTCTTTCTTGAGAGAATGGGTATTGCTGC